GGGGGGGGAGGGGGGGAGAGGGGGAACCATGAAAATGACGTTTAAAAATCCAGGATGTTTCCAAACAGGTCTTATTCTAAGGAGCACAATCAAAACCCCCATGCGGATGATGGCCTGAGAAATCCTATGAAACGAAGCCAACCTGAAGGAACGAATGATAAAGAGAAGTTCTGCCATCTCCTACACTTGCTGTCAAAGGGAATGGAGCTATTTCTGCCAGTGCAGGCTGTAACATGAGGAGGAGGAGGAAAGATTTCCTCAGCCCATCCACATAATGCACTAGAATGTCAAACACGACAGCTGGTGCAAGGGCTCAAGCCCGTTCCTGGGAAGCTTAGAGAGCCTGCTGTACGCTGCAGACCAGGGCGAGGATCAGGATGCCAAAGGACAGGTGGAAAAGCATTACCAGGGCTTGCTGAAATGTTCTCCTGTTCACAGCTTGATTACTTTCCCTGCCTCTTCAGCCAAAATAGAGACCTCTCCCCCACAGCAAATTCACGTGAATCCTTTAGAGTTAAATCTCACCATCCTTACAGAAGGATTTATACAGGCAGTGGCTGTCTGTTTTTAATTTGGGGCATTGGATGGATGGGAAAAGCTGACAAAAAAGGATTTTGTGGGGTCTGTATGTGATCCCAACTGGACACACACACACAAAAGAACACAGGGCATTAATATACAAGTTGGAAGGTACAGAAAAGACCCTGGGGTTCTACCTCTTCCTTTCATGAATTAAGAATCTGAGGACCAAAGAGTGTATTACAAACACACCCTCAGCCCAAGCTCCCCTGCTCTTGCCACGAGACTGCAACTCACCACCAATGGCAGGCAACCTTGAGACCAAACAAAGGGACACATCGAACTGCTATTCAAAGGCTCCACGAAAACCAGCCAAACTCATTGCCATCAAGTCTGTTCCGACTCCTGTCCCAGGCTGCAAAGCCTCATCTTTCTCCTACAGACCACCCGGTGGGTTTGAACCACCAGCCTCGGGTTAGGCAGTCCAGCACTTACCTGACACTGCCGCCTGAACCCCTTCAAAGGAAAACAACATATTTACAGAAGGAAACTGGCTCCAAAGACCATTCCGTTGAGTGTATCCAAGAAAGCAAGCTCACTGTCGCCAAGTCCATTCAGACTCATGGCAACCCTCTAGGCCAGGGTAGAAATGCCCTGGGTTTCCAAGACTTCACCTTCTTACTGGAGGAGAAAGCCTCCTCTTTCTCCCGAGGAGAGGCCGGCGGCTTTGCCCTGCTTCCCTGTGGTGAACAGCCAACGTCTAACACACTACGGCACCAGGTTTCCTGTGCATAGAGTACGCAGTACGATAGAACGATAGAATGTTCTTGGCAATTTTGCAATAGCCAATTTCCACCAATATGCTATAACAAGATTAAGATTTTTTTTTTTAAGTCATCTATATCGAGGAAGGAATTGAAAATTTTTTTTAAAAAAACCTTCCACAGTACTGGATCTGTAACTTGCGATGGTAAGTCAGATATTTAACGACGGAGCTTTTTCTCGCGGATTCCCAGAAGTGGAACAGGTGTCGAATTCATTAAGAGCATCGGGTAAGAATGAAAAGGGTTGCCACCAACCAGCTGATTCTGACTGAAAGTTAGCATGCACAGCGCTCTGCACCATCAGGCTGTGCGTGCGTCATGCGTGCGAGACTCGCGTTTCGCTTGTCAATTTACATATATAGGATGTCTGGTTATGGGAAAGAAGATTAGATATACTTACCCTGGACGGGCTTGGATGTCCTCCATTCCCCCAGGACCCTGAGCTACTTCTGTCTTCTACATCTGGGGACAAGAGGAAAGTTCTTTAGGCTTTTTTGCAATAATTCTTCCTTTTTGTAGATGCATTTTTAAATTAATGTTTCAAATTAATCTCCTGTTGCCTTTAATTAAGAATCAGGAACAAGGCTACCATGATGGCAGTGGCTTCTGACCCATCTCCTTAAATGAACTCATTTAAATTCACAGCAGAAATGAACTGGACCCTCAGGAACCAGAGGTAAGAACATAAAAATTACTTCCACCCTTCAGTCTTGCACAGCCTCAATTTTTATAGACCCGAAACGGCACTTGAAAGTTACATTAAAAATCTTTGGGACAAAGTACTTTTAATACATGCCAACACAACTTTAATACAAAAAAAAAGAGGTGTCGATTAAGCGCAGTATGCATGGTGACACTGGAAGCATCCTTTTGTAAAGCTTTTCAAAAACAAAAAACAAAAACCACTGCGGTGAAGTCCATTCTGGCTCAGAGCGACCCTAGTGGGCAGGGTGGAACCGCCT